AAAAAAAGACTTAAAGGGAAACCATATTTATTCTCCATGTCCTCAGAAGGCTGAAATGAAATGCATAGGTAGAAGTTGCAGGTAGGTTGATTCTGTTTTAACATAAGGAAGAATTTTCTAAATAATGGAGCTCCAACAAATTGCCCCAAGAGGTAATGGGTTGATCAAGCAATGACCAGAAGGCTGCCCATATACTTAGTGAGTTAAGTGAGCTGTTCCCTAAGATCCCTGTAAACTCTGTATGCCATTATCTTTCAAATCAATATTAGTGTATAAATTGGGAAAATGTGGTAGGAATAAAGGAAATTCACAGCAGCTAGTCCTGTGCAGAAAGTCACTGACCATATCCTTCCACTTACATGGGAGAGGCCTCTCTCCTCCGTAGGCTCAGCCACCATTCAGAGGCTTCATTATTTAAAAGAGCTCTCCTAAGTGGATCAAACACATTTCTAAGAGTGATGAAACAGAAGGGGAGTCTTCTGACAATGCCTTTCCTGATTACCCATACTTTAAAGCGAATCTTTATAGAAATTGCTTTCTTTTCTGTATTATGTCCTCGAGCTATATCCCATAATGTGGGTGATAACTGAGTAAAAAGCACAAAATCAGTTTTATTGCTCTGATAATTGGACAAAATGCACTCCAGAATCACTGGAGCAATTTAAATGTCACTAGCAACATAAGCATGCATCTTTCCCCCTATACCTCCATTAGCATTGAATTTTGCTGTTGTCACTAATTCTTTTGCTAATTTAATAAGTAGTGGTAGAGCTCAGAGTTCTTTCAATTAATATTTCTTTAATGATACATGAGGCCAGACACTTAAACGATTTCACAGACTTTTTAAAGAAAGAAAGCATTATGCAATCCCACAGTCATTCCATACTATTCAGTTTGTCACGCTGCATTCCAGCCTGAGCCAAAATGTTTACTGCAATGACAGGGACCTCCTCTGTCCTAGCAAAGCCAAGTGGTTCCACGGCATGGGAAACATGCCCTGGGCGCCATCTTTCCTTGGCACTAAATGCACATTACACTGCAGTGTGACTGCTTTCTCATTATCATGCTATATTCAGCCTCAGGCACACTGTGTCTCTCCACGGTTCTAGGAACAGTACATTTCATACACAGATCCAGGTAGACAGTGTCCCTGAGAAGACTTCTTAGAAACTAGTGGGCCAGTGGGCCCCAATGAGAACATTGCTATAAACCTAACTGGTCACTGCCACGTGGTGGAATTCGGGGTGACTTTCTTTTTTTCTTTTACTATTCTGTATTTTCTCATTTTTCCACAGTAAACATGGAGGGCCTGTGTAAATAAAGAAAACCATCTTGATGGAAACAGTGACAGGTGGGAGGAGTATGAACAGAGAGAAGGAAAAAAGGTTATAGCTCTAAACTGTATTCCCTTTGTTCTAACGTTTTAAAAAGATAAGAACTCTCATAATAGGCTCCACTGATGCATAAATTGTTAAAAGTCATAGATCAAAGTGAAGCAAAGAGTACAAACATGGAATTCCACAAAGACTCAAAGATCACTGGAAAGGCACCTGCTTTGCTAAGTCGGGAGTAGGGAGGAGGAGGAGAGAGACATCCATAGGGGCTCACTTCAAAGCCAGTGCATATTGGGTTTTATGCAAACACTTTTCTGTTTGAGCTCTAAAAGGTTCTGAACACCTAGCTACCCGGAAATGCTAATGTGTAACCTACAAAAGCCGGGTGGAGAATCGTCAGGTTCTTTGACCTTGTTCCAGGCTGCTTAATGACCCTCCAATGTCTACACTTTCA